CAAGATGGGATCACGTTTTGATGATGTGTTATGTGTGTGACCAAACGCAGGAGATTTAAAACATAGCTATTAGCAGTTAGCAGCTAAATCAAGGGGAAAAAACAGCCGCCATAAATGTCTGTAAATTAGGAAAGCAATGAGATTCAGGAGCTCTTTACTTTCCGAGAAGAGGACAAGACCAGCTGCCAGGGACAGTAAATGGTTGTTACTGCCATGTTATGCCATTGTTGTTGTTTATAAAGTGCTGCTGATGTGTTTGTTTTATGTCACACCAGAGGCTGACGCTGTGGTGCTACGTCACACCTGTCATGTCTCTTTTGATTTTGCAAAGCCTTGATGCAGTGTATAATCACACACTGGGGCAGAACGATGCTGTCGTTGATTGGTTTTGTGTAAAATTTGGGTCTAATCGAGTCTTTATATTAACTTTACATAAGTAAGTCACATGTGCAAATTATTTCATTCACAACATAAAGACCTCATCGGGGTCACGGACCCCTGTTGAAGACCCAGGTTATAAGCCATTTCTGCCGATAGATGCCCCTAAATCCCACAAACTGGACCTTTAATACGCACTTACAACACCTCCTGTTTACTCCACTATCATCATGAATAATCGTGCCCTCAGATTCTGAAAAACACTGACCTAAAGAGTGAAACTGTTTCCCTCATATCACTGTAAAAATCCTACAGATGACTTGTTTCATTGTTGTGCAGTCAAAGCGAGTCATCTGCTGTTATCTGACATGAGTGTGTCCTATCTGTACTGAATTAGCTTTTTAAAGTCCCCCTTCACTCAAAAATGTGTTCTGCTTATCGTTACTTCTCCTGATGCTTCATCTTCACTGTGCACAATGGTGGTTTATGTGCAGAGTTTGACACTAGAAGGTCGTTTTCACATTCATCCACAAAGGGGGGAAGTTTCTTTGTACCCACCTTACACGTGAGTAGGAGCAGGATTTTGTGACATCACAAGTTTGTAATCCAGTCATGGTCTAATGTGAAATTTACATGAGTACAATGTGGAAACTTGACACTGAGAACTTATTTACAGTGAAGCAGTAAAACTTTCAGATTCTGGATTTGATGGAGTTGAACTAATTGAATACAGTTTATATTAAAACAAGTCTGGCTGTGATCTTTAAAATTGTTTACATTTTATCAGATGAAAAGGAAGCAAAATGTTTCTGATATTAAAAAATTAGTTGGGATTCAGCTGAGGTGCACTGAACTGGATAAACTCAGATTTTTAATATAGTTATCACCACTTTTGTTGTTAAATCTTCAGATGAAAAATTTTATTAGATTATCTCAAAATCAGTGTTTGTCTATCCCCCGTTATCTACTTTGGAAACAGAAATGCAAAACAACTGCTTTGGAATCTCCAAATCACATTATCTTTTAGCCGAGGAATCCTCTGAGTCTTCTTCACTAAAATCTAATGCCTGGACATCAGCTTTACAAGGGGATTTCTCTTCGGAGAACCGGGAAAGCCGCATAAGCACACACAAAATGTTATTTCTCGGCTCAGATTGCTGCATGCATCCATGTGACACCAGGAAAACCAAACGAGTACGAGAAATAGCTCCATCCTGGACCTGTGTATTCGGTGTGCACAGGAGAAAGGGACCTGTCTTCATTGTTTTTGGTAATTTGATGATGTGAAAGAGTTCTGGAGGGAGATTAAACAAGCTCTGGAGAATATATTAGGCATTTGACCCAAAGCTTTTCATTTCAAGTTTACACCCTGATGAACATCATACACCCAATAAAGACACTGCTGTCTTAGATCTTTGTTTACTGCTTGCAAAGAGAGTTATCTCACTCTCTTGGAAAACAGCCAGTAAAACAAATTTCATTAACTGGTTTAAAGAATAGTCCATTAACTCTGCCTCTGGAAATGATTTGTATTTGTATTTTTATGTTTCTGCCTTTCAGTCACATTTTGCTGGACACAATAAGTTACTAGCTATCATGCAATCGTTCAAATATTTATATCAAATTTGTATTTTATATTTTTCATAGGAATCATTATTCATGCATTGTTTTTACTTTTTAATCACCTTACATTAGCACTTATAGTGACAGCTCTCAACACTTCACTGCTGCTTTTATTCCGTTTCTGTTCTTTAATCCTGTGTCATATCTGGGTGATATCTGTGTCCATGTCAGAAAAAAGAAAAAGAAAAACATGTTTCTTTTTTCATTTTATTCCACACTTAGCTGACACCAAAAGGAACATATAAAAATGAAATGATAGATCAGTCATTATTTTTATTATTTAAAAAGTGTCCTTCTAAGTGTGGTTTTTGCTATATTTCTTTTGTTACCGAGCCAGATTTTGACCTTCAATCTTGTTTAATTCTGATTTTAATATTAACTTGAAATACAAATGACATATAAATTCCCATTTTAATGAAATGCATGATATGTTGTAAGATATATCAGCATTTTTTTTTTTTCATTAAAACAACACCTGTACCTTGGGGTTACAGGGAGTGTTAGTTTACTTGTTGACCTACAGTCATGTGAGAGGAGAGCACATGACTTCATAGAGGGAACTGAAACATGACAAAATCAAGGTCAAGTTTTGTTAAATCAAAAAATATGTCTACAGGCTGTCACTTTCAGACTTTCAGCTCATATTATATTATATATTATATTGTGTAATTTGTGTATATTTAATGCTATCTATCTATCTATCTATCTATCTATCTATCTATCTATCTGTCCATCTGTCCATCTATCTATCTATCTATCTATCTATCTATCTGTCCATCTGTCCATCTATCTATCTATCTATCTATCTATCTATCTATCTATCTCTCTCATGCCATTATGATCTAAGATTGGACTGAAGTGCTTCAATAACACAGTCAGATATTAGGATGAATGAAAAATGGCTTTCATGTCCTGAGGAGGATTTCCTTTTCCTCTCTGCCACCTACTGGTGAGACCAGGCTGTTGTAGACAGACCCTGCAGTAAATTACAGGGACATAATCTGATTATGACTGGGTGGAACCCACTACAGTCTTCAGACTTCACCTCTTACAGTAGCCAAAAATAGGTCTTTTTCACAGCAGACATTGTGACTCGTCAAAGTAGGAAAAGCACAGGTGTTACTAATAACGTTAACGATGGCTCTGTTTTATTCAAGTATCTCCATAGCAGGTGTCACACACTTAAATTTAATGCTTTTAAAGAGCTTTTTTAAGTTAATTTTTGACCAGATTCAAAACAGATTTTTGGGTAAATCATATTTTTCTTATTCAAGCATTGAAGGTAAGTGTAAAGTTATGTATGTAGTCTCGTGCAGAGGTAGGTTTTATTTAGGAATATTGTTGTTAGAGTGAGATAAGGCTAATCCACATTTTGCCAAAGTAAAAAGACAGTAGGTTCAGGTAAAAAAATTGTAATATCAGAAACTTTCACACAGAAGTGCTTGACTCATTTTGACACATGGACATTAAAGGATGGATAAATTAAACCAGATAAAATATGTGTGGCAATTATGACCTCATCAATTCAAATTTCATACTATTTAATGACTTTTAATACCTGATATTTTTATAATTTAATGGGACTTGTTAATGATTTGCATAAGCCAATCACAGTGTGTAAGTGAGGAAGCATGCACTACAGTAAGACCATGAAACTGGAACAGCAAAATGGAATTCAGCCATCATAAGTTTTGTTCTTTATACCTGTGTTTGCCACTGTGATAGTTACAGTGCTTTGCTCCTGTTGTTCCTGCATTGGATATCAGTGATCTCCACTCAACAGAAAAAAAAATTGTATGTAACCAAATGAAAAGAACTGGAAAGACAGGAAGTCCTCTGCTCCAAATAAAAAAAAGTGTTCGTTTTTCCACGGTGTATTTCCCCACATTGCTGACGGCCATGTTCTGTGTCATATAATGACCAGATGTGTCATACAGAAACAAATATAAATGCTGTCCCACAAAATGACTTTCTGACATCACAGAGTAATGTGTTCCACTGTTTGGAAGGAGAATTATTCAAAAGAAAACTATGGTTAAAGAAAACAGTGATGGAGGAAGTACTCAGATCCTTTACTTCCTCCTTCTTTTGTCATTCATACTGGGAACCTGTTTTTGGCCTAGTATATATTGTATGTATCAGACTGCACCTTATTTGCACCTTACTGTCATGTTGTTTAGGTATATTGCAACTGCTGCACAATAATGTCCTCAGGATAAAGAAAGGTCTGATTTATCTTAGGGTAAAACTACCAATGCTGGACTGTAAAAATATTCTGTTACAAGTAAAAGTCATGCATTGAAAGTGTTACTAAAGTAAAAGTATGTAAGTATAATAAAGAAAATGTACTTTAAGTATGAAAGGTACTCAGTGCAATATGATACAATACTATATACTTTATTGTCCCTGTAAGAAATTCATCTTGGTCTCAGGAGCTGCACAAGCATTGCTGCCTTACAATGATTGTCCAAAAGAAATGAAAAGCATACACCCACATACTACACATAACAGTATTGCACATCAGCCATTCATATATCATGTGTGTATCATGATATATACAATTTATCAGAAATTATTATTACTCTCATGCATTAATGTAAAAGCAGGATTGTAGTTGTAGGTGGAGCTTATGTTTGTATTGTACAGGACTACAACTGATGATTATTTTTATAATGGTGTAATCTGCTGACTATTGTCTAAAGTGATTGTTTAGATTGTGAGAAATGCCTGTCGATTAATTGCTGCAGCTGTACTTCTATACACTGGTGGGTAGTTTATTGGATGAGAGAACATCTCTTAAAAGCTCTCTGCATGTTTGAATGCAGAAATCTTAGTGTGTAGGTAACTAAAGCTGTAAAATAATTGCAGTTAAGTGAAAAATACAGTATTTCCCAGTGAAATGTAGAAGTAGAAATGCAAGGAAAGGAAAATAAGCTCCATTTTCTTTAACTTAAACTTAGCTAAAGTACTTGTGTAACTGTATGTAGTTACACTGCATCACTTGGACATAACTAATACAAGTTTGACTTCAACTAATACAATGTATTTTTTGAGTGATGAAAAGTACATATTTTTAATTAAAGGCCAGCTAATTCAGTTAATTTGCATGTAAATCTTTTTTTTAAATCCATATTATATTATTATTGCAGGTTGTCACTTCTTCACTAGTGTGTTTTATGTGTCTCCGGTGCAGCCTGCGCAGAGTAGTGCCGGTGACCGACACTAGAGGCTTCTCCTGCCGCCCGGTCCCTGCCTTGTTTTGGTTAGCTGGATGTTAGCCCATGCTTTCTGCCGTAGCCGGTTGTAACGGTGATGGCTCTCCCATGAGGCGGGGGAGCGGGACTGTGTTTTGTGACTAAACGCCGAGTGAAGTGCCGTGGCCATGGCCGGGGTTTTCGACATCGATTTGGATCAACCGGATGAGAATGTCTCTGACGACGAACTTGAGGACGGGGTGAGTTTACGTTAACGTTGAGGCTAACACCGCCGCTGTTAGCCGCTAGCCGGTTAGCTAGCCGGTTAGCTAGCACTTAGCAAGGCAGGCCTCGGAGCTGCTAACAGTAGTGATTCCATCATCGGACGTGTCCTCGTTTACCCTCTTTCCCGCGGAATATGGCAGCGCCCCCCAAAAGTCACTATACTGTATTACAATAAATGTCCATTGCTGTTTTTACTTATTTAAATTGTTGAACAATTTTCATCATCACCGACACTTGTGGTCAAGCACATTCCGCTTAATCTTAAGTGTTGACCGCGGACAAGTTGGTGTTTCCCGGCTTACCTAATGTTACGTTCAAGCGCACAACCTAGTGAAGCCACTAACGCCTCCGTGTTTGTAATGAGTTTTAGGAAAACAAATTAAAAACACGACGGTATGAAACAACCTAATTGAAAGCTGAATACAAATGAAAAGGTTGCCTTTACGTTTCACCGGGCGTTGCTACCTGTCCGACAATGGAATCATGCACAAAGCGGTCTTACGAGCTGCATCGGCATTCGCCTGTTGTACGGGTGTACATTACCGTGTCGGTAAATTAGTTACATGTAGGTTACGTTGATGGTTTGACAACTACTTTGACAATGTTAATAAACGCAATATAAGTGAATTCAAAGCAGCAACAGGGTGAAATCCTGCCAGTGCTAACCGGACTGTAGCTAGAAGGAGCGTACTCCTTGCTAGCTTTCCCACCGCTCACCTAACGTTAAGTTAGTAGTTAGCTTCATGTAGCAGATATTGGCTTTCAGTCACAAACATAAGCTTTTTAAATATAATGTTGGTTGGAGAAAGTGTGTTTCTATTCAGCCAGTCTGATAAAAATAACTTGAAACAAAAGCTAAAATGTTTTGCAGGGGAATAAACTCATTAACCCTTGTGGTAAAACCAGTGTCAGGTCCATTAAATATCTATAAATAAGCTCAGGTTGGCTGGGAAATGACAGTCCTCCCTTACATTCCTGTTGCTGAGATTTTCTGTCCTGTGCCTCGTTTTTCAGGGCCAGCTCAGTGAATACATGGACCAGTGCAGTGGCTTTGAATTGTAAGTACAAGCAAAACTGTAATTCACCAGGTTCCCAAAGGGCCAACTAAGTCATGGTGACTGGAAGTTATCCTCATGGGGTTGTAAATAACTTCTAGTCAGTGGTGGAGGAGGTATTTAGAGGTTTTGGAAATAGTCCAAGTACAAGTCCTGCATATAAAACCTCACTTAAGTAGAAGTGTGTAAGTGTTAAAAGCAAAATGTACTTAAAGGAACAGTGTGTAAGATTTAGGAGGGATGAGCATGTGAATGGATAATTATTTTCTCTATATCACTGATTTGCTCCATTCTTCCATTATTTAAATTGCTTTGTCGTCTCTTATGGTCGTATCTCACTTGAACTACACTACATTGTCTCCGTGATCCCCGGGGGTGCTACTCCTTTTCGTTGAGCACAAATGAGCCCTTAGGGTTAGTATTCTCTGCTCCGTAGATGTTTACCGGGAGAGGTCTCTTCATCTCCAAATAAAATGGACCGAGTGATTAAAACTGGTAAACACACTGATTGAAGCAAGCTCTGTAGATGATGATGCACCCTCTATGTAAAAATAAAGGGCTTAAGGCCACGAAAACATAAAAAATCTTATTTTCAAGTGATTATACACCAAAGAAAACATCCTTATTATATTATATTCCATTTCTCCCAATATGTCCCCCTACACACTGGACCTTTAAAGTATTAAAGTAAAGGCATTCATTGTGCAGTAGAAGAGTTTTCTTTTATTTGTCACCGATCCATATGGACCTACTAATGATTTATATAATCTTGAATAGGGTCTCTTACAACAATAATATCTAAGCTGGTCACTGCATGGATGTGAATCTATGTTAAGGCTCAAGTGCTTGTAACTCACACTGATAACACTGTTGTGTGTCTTTGAAATTGTGAACACAATGTTGACTGAATGTTTTAAATGTGATTTTTTTTAATCCCCTTTATTTATTTTTTTGTTTGTTTTGTTTTGCCAGTAACATGGATGACTGTGAGAAGTTTGAAATTTCAGAGAACAGCGTGAACAAGGGAACAGAGCAGATCAGGCCTGAATGCTTTGAGCTGCTGAAAGTTTTGGGAAAAGGTGGCTATGGAAAGGTGAGGCACCTGATTGTCCGTCATGAAAATGTACTCATGAATACAACACCTCCTGAGTTTTCCTCTTTATAATGCAACATGACTTGAATTTGGATGTTGAAGGTATCAACTATATATTCTATGTACAGGTTGGAAACTAAGTGCAGAGCTGTACAGTTTGGTGTTACATTTTCAGTGGGCCCTGTATGTTAGCCTTTACTCACACAGTTATGGACGCCCATTCCCCACAGTGTGTTGGGAAATAAAAGATCACGTTAAGCCGTTAAGATACTAAGTCATTATTTTGAGATATTACGTCATTATTTTGAGAAACTAAGTCATTATTTTGAGATATTAAGTCATTATTTCGAGATATTAAGTCATTTTGAGAAAGTTTCTCATTATTTTGAGATACTATGTCATTATTTTAAGATACTAAGTCATTATTTTAAAATACTAAATCATTATTTTTAGATACTAATTTATTATTTTGAGAAACTGAGTCATTGTTTTAAGATACTAAGTCATTATTATGAGAAAGTTTCTCATTTTTTTGAGATGCTAAGTCATTATTTTGAGATACTAAATCATAATTTTGAGGAAGTTTCTCATTAAAATGACTTAACATGATCCTTTTTTTTCCTCCATTACACTGGCAGAAATGGACTTCCATACACAGTCACACAGTTCAGTTTTAATAAAAAATACATGTTTCTACTCAAGGTCATTGAAATGCCCGGAAAAATAAGATTTTAAAAGTGTGGAAAACACCTCTTTGTCTTTCGTGTTTTGGCCTTGGACCTGCCAACATGTTGCCAGTATATGGGGGAGGATTGCAATTATCTTGAAATTCCAATGGGTGGGGACTTTTTTTAACGAAGTTGCTGAAAATTAAGTTTGCACACAAGAAACCAGAGCAGTTTTGTTCTCAACAACCTTTTAATCCCCAGAGAAATATTACAGTGTGTTTTTGCTGTGGGGAAAATAAAAAAAATCTACTGCTCCTTTTCAATAAAAGATCTGGCATCCCAGAACCATCTCCTCCATTATCCATCTCAATGTAATCCAGAGCTGTGATCACCAGCACCCACCTGTATCTCATCCTAACACCACTGAGATCAGAGAATCTGCCTCCTTGTTATGGTTTTATTTTGGTGTCAACATCATGTTATTTTGGAACACTGGACATGTTCTGATGTTCTCATTTCCAACCCTAACAATGAAAGTGCACATCAGTTATTTTGGAAACACTTTTCGCAAGCAGACGCATGACTTATTCTTCCTTGAAGTGGTTTTGTGTACGATGACTAAGAATTTTCTGCAGCTTGGGAATTTCTCAGCATTACAAAGTAATTATATTTTTTGAAACACACTGTCATTGTTTTGAGATTCCCGTGTAGTTACAGTATATATTCTGGCACAGACTTAAAGTTCCTTGGCCTTATAACTGAGAGCAAATAGTCTTTTAAGAGTTATGCTGGTAAACAGAAACTCAAAACACAGACTTTGGCTCACGCAAAGTCAGAGCAGTCCCTGGTCACTCTTAAGTCAGAATAATGGACGAATATTTTCACACATGAAGTCAGTGACCTTGGTTGATTCATTGCTTAGCAGAGTGAATACACATTATGCACAATAGTACCTTCTGAACTAAAAAAATCCCTTTTTTCCCCAAATCATTTCTCTGAATGCCCCTGGCATGACAAAATGTATTTTTTCAAGTCATACTTTAGACATAGAAGAAAACATCTGGTCTACACAGCCAAAGAAATAGTGATGCAAGGGTATCTGCGACTTAAAGTCTTCAAAAGTCTTAAATTATATCTATAAAACCCACTTAATATTTTCTCTAGCCAAACGTAGACAGTAGTGTAAGTTCTAAAATGTTTTTGTATCTGATTGTATGCTGTTGGGAGAAGTCATACACTTATAAACTAAACTTAAGTGTGAATTGTGCGTTGTCCCTGCAAATGAGAAAAGAATTGGCAAACTAGCCACCACACGGTCCCGCCGCCTTGCTCCTCGCTGCTTGGGCTGCTTCCCCGGGAGGAGAGCAGGCAGCAGCTCTGTAGAAAGACCTTCGGGCGGTGGTTTTAGCGGCGCGATTCTGACCACCGCAAACTCAGTGCCAGTTGTCACAGCAGCAGCACCCGATCCAATCTGTGTAACAGCAGCAGCGAGCTTTCAGATCTGATGGGGAGTCAGAGCTGTCTGGTCTCCTGGAGCTGGGGTTTGTGCTGTTGGATTCTGGTTGCCGTGGCCACTGACTGGGGGTCTGTCTCCAGAGCGGCTGCCTGCTCTCATGGCGAGGTGGTCTGTGGTGATGGGGAGTGAGGCAGAGGACACACTGTGAATCAACAGCTACATAATCGTGAACTTGAAGCCACAGCAATGAGCCTTAAGTTCCGGTTAGCAAAAGGCTAAACTGTGAGCAACATTGTGCCTCCATCTCTGAACGCTTCGCTGATATTGACGCAAGTTTTATTGCGTTTATTGTCCGACTCTTCTAGGCTCTCTTTTTGATAAGTTTATCTAACTTTTTTGGGGTGCAGGAAATGCTGAAGTAGCAACTTCATCTGCAGGATTTTTCTCACAGTGAATCAGGAACAAGGAACATGAATGCGCATCTGCATTTGTAGAGGAGCCAATAGGAATGCCACAGTCTCCTGTCACAGCCTAGACTTTTTAAAGCCTGAACAGAGCCAAGAGAGGAGGTGCAGATGTCAGGTGTTCCCTCAGTCCACTTGAATTACAAGATGCTCAGAGTTTATTATGGGAATTTAGCCCAGTGAAGCCAAAATGAAACTGTCTACCCCAGGTTTAATTTTTTAATTAGGTTCATCCATCCATCCATTTTCTGCCACTTGTCCAGATGCAGATCACATTAGTTAAACGAATTCTACCATTAGGAATTATTGGTGTATACTGCTGGAAAGTAGAAGATGAAAATGTGACATAATATTAAATAATTCTTGGCAATATTGCCATTCATGGTCTTCCAGCATACTTTCACACTCAGGTATTAAATTGTATTCTGTGTTTTTTAAAAAAAAGTCTTAAAAATCTTAAATTTAACTTGCAGAAACCTGTGTAAATTTCTATGTTCATTTTTACAGGTGTTTCAAGTTCGGAAGGTAGCAGGTGCTGCATCTGGGAAGATATTTGCTATGAAAGTTTTGAAGAAGGTGAGTGAATCTGCATGCCTCAGGTTTGGTTGAAAGTTTTGATAATCAACAAGAATACCCTCATCGATTTTAGAGAGTAAATCAGTTATGCTCATTAAAGGTGGGTCAGACCGCCCCCTGGTGTTCATACAGTATAGTGTAGTGTGAGAGGATTAGATTCTGCATTATCTAATGTAGACGTAAGCAAACACAAGTAGTTTAAATCTGTAAGGAATTGGCATCTTAAAGAGTTGACACTGAGGCCAAATGCAGCTTATGCCGGGTTTCCAAGCAAATTTACCATTGCAGACAAATGTACAATGTTGGAATAAAGTCTTTTAGAGCAGTGGTTCCCAACTGGTGGGTTGCAAGTCCATTCTGAATAGAACAAAGTGACTTGCAAATGTGTCAAGTTTTTTTTTTTTAAGATTTTATTTTTAAGTACAGTGAAATTCTGGCACAGTGCTGTGCCATAGAGTGAGTGACTAACAGACAGCTACTTGACAGAGATAGCAAAGTAGCTCGAGGACATGGTCAAATACTAGAATGATGCTGAGTGTATTAAACTGTGTGGAACCTGAACTGTAGAAAAATGTGGACGCCGTGTCTGGACCAGTTGGGAGCCACTGTTTTAGAGTTTTACCTCAGTTGGTGCGTGCTCCTGTGAGGTGGTCATCAAACTCAGTCCGAATTGTCTTAAGTCAGTCTTTTCTTGTTTTGACTACTGACAAAAAAGTTCAATGACGTGAACATTGTCAACACCCAACAGCTGCTCTCTGACCAGCACCAAACAGGAAGAAGCAAACCAGGTAGACAGCAAACAGGGAGGAGACCCTGGGGAGGTACAAGAACAAGAACAAGTCTCTGTTCTCTTGAACTGTGGAAAAGGAGGAGAAACTGGCGGAGTTGAGGAGTGAACAAGAGTCTGATTCTGTGTGTATCTGATCCACCAACCAGCACTTATTTTAGTGAGATATCTTAGTTTTTGAAATGGTTCACCTCATATTTCCACAGTCTCCGCCCACTAAAAAAGTACAGCTAACCAACGGGGGCTGGTAGCGAGTTGAGGGGACAAAATCTAAAATGTAAAGTTTGTATGTAAGTCTTTAATCTTTGTGGATTATACTGATGCCAAATTGGCAAGAATAATGTTGACATATGATGCCTTTCATCTTGTGTTTCTGGAGTTATGTGTTTTTGCGGACATGTAAGGAATTGTTAACATGTCATAAGGGAGTTTGGCGTAATATTTTCCACCAGACTGGGAAATGATGTCAGAGGGAATCTAGTCTTAGTCTTGCAAATAGTGACCCTGCAAGATCCCCAGTCTTTGAAAAATCTTATAGTGTGTGACTAAAACTCATAGATGTGAGAGGATGTCAGACTTTAGTCTTCTAAAATTGTTCTCAGTGTCTTCTAGTATATGGTAGGCATTAACTGTACAGTGTTTCACTTATACTGTATGTCACTGTGTGCCTTTTCTGGTGGTGACACATTGGTGCATTCAGCTATGAAGCCAGAAGCGAAGGGCAGACCACCCAAAAATAATGGCAGCAGGTTTTTTCCCATGAAACCCCAGATCTGCCGCTTCTGTTCAGCTTGGCCTCCTCTCTGCAGCTGACACAGGGCTGGTGCCAGACTTTTACTTGAAAAGCCAGCTCATATTCCCCGAAGCTTGAGGTTTTGGTTAATGACTGTGTTTATTGGCTTAATGAGACTTGACTGTAGCTACCAACCTGGTGTCCTGATTCCTGCTCTGCCTCTGATGTTGAAGCTGCCCTGACACCAGCTAATTGGGTTAGAGTTATTGCCTGAATAGTTTCACACCCCGACACTCCTGTGCTTTTCTGTCCCTTGCCAGGCCATGATTGTGCGCAATGCGAAGGACACAGCGCACACCAAAGCAGAGAGGAACATTCTGGAGGAGGTGAAGCATCCTTTCATTGTGGACCTCATCTATGCCTTCCAGACGGGGGGAAAGTTGTACCTTATCCTGGAGTATCTGAGCGGTGAGCAAAGAGATCAAACACAAAGAACAAGACAAACCCCGACACTCTAAATTGTTTTTGATCATTTTATGAGCGTGAGACATTGTCTGTGCACTGGACAATGGCGTTTTTCTTTCACTGAAGTAAAAATGTGTGTCTCCATTTCCACTGTGAATACATTTTACTGACTTTGTGGTGACTGCAGGAGGGGAGCTGTTCATGCAGCTGGAAAGAGAGGGCATCTTCATGGAAGACACAGCATGGTAAGTTAGTTTGTCTGTCACTTGTAAAACCTTAAAGGGTAACTTCAGCATTTTTCTACCTGGACACTCTTTTCTTATGTTTTTTTTTTTTTTTTTTTGGTCAAACGGGAACTACAATTTTTGAAGGCGTAGCTGTCATCAACTCAAGTTATCTTCACCTCTCTGTCTCCACCGCTCCACCATTACTCCGTGTTTGTGTGTGTAAAAGTGGCGCAGCAGCCAGGATGCACAGACAGCAGGAGGAGATGCTGCAGCATGAAAATAAATCACACCAAATGTAAAAACGTAGGCTAACAGTTACAGATAAAAGGGCCGGTAATGTCGGAGCTTCTCAATACTACAGTCGTTCATAACTTAGCGCTGCGGCTCGTTTACTACTGGTGAGATTTACAGGGTTAAAGCTTCACACATCGTGGGAAAAAGTGCATATTAAAAGATTGACCTTGGATTTTACTAATCGATATCAGGTCATTCCAGTGAAAATCGATTTGAATCAGATGAATTGATTTTTTTAACCCAGCCCTAAAGGTCAGTGTGACTTTGTCTGTCTCGTTCTTTTTAACACAATATCTGGGAATTTCAAATTTGGCACAAACGTTCACTTCAACTGTAGAATTAACTGATTGGAATTTGGCGGTCAAAGGTCAAGACCACTATGACCTCACAAAACATGTTTTTGGCCAGCCATAACTCAAGAATTCATACCCTAATTATGACAAACCTTTACACAAATGTCTAACAGGATAAAATGATAAGGTGATGACATTTTATATCTAAAAGGTCAAAGGTCAACTTCACAGTGACATCATAATATGCAAGAAACACTCATTGTCTTAACTCAGAAACAGAGGGGGTGACATTTGGTCAGAAACTGAATTGGTGACACTAATCTTGGGCGTCCATCTTGAAACTGTGTTGATTGTATAGATCTTCAGTGAAGCATCTACTTGTTCACAAGCAAGGATGTAATCTCTAAAAGAAATTTGACTGGTGTGCAGAGGCATACCATTGCTGTGCGGTAATTCTTGTTGGACGTATATTGACAGCGTGCACATGCCTCAAGTGGTTTTCTTTGCAACCTGTTTTCGCAGCTGCTGGCTACAGCAAATAGGGTCCAGGTTGAAAAGTACTTAAGTTAGCCTTTAAACATCTGGCCAGGGACAACATTACCCTTTAGCCTTCCTCTGACTAATGTACAGTGTTTCTGGTGGTCGATGGGAGTTTATCCTGAGGAATTTTTTAAAACTATCCTGTTACAGGATGTTTTGCTTAAACATGTCAAATCTAAATTTGTTTGAATCTTTTCATCCCCTTTGTCACTCCCGTCCCGTGTTTGTACACATATTTTAAAGGCCACCGCCATGATTTACAATATAAAACCATTTCCAACTGGCAACAGTGTGGGCAAAAACCCACAGTGTTGCCAGTTGTCTCCTAGTGGTCTTTTTTGCTGACTCATGTTGTAAAGGGCTTCTAATGCCAGATGATGTCTGAATGGCAGTGTGATATGTTGTCTCTGGCAGTCTAAGGCCCAGATCAGACAGAGCGTGTTTTGTAGCTTGTTGCGTCTTAAAATTATTTTTTTACTGTTAGGAACTGTAGGCACGTACGTTAATTATTGCTAGTATTTGTTGCGATATATCTTGCAGCTTTCCTAGGGCGATTTTGAAAGTGAACTTACCATTAACACAAACCAGATTGCCTCCTGGCCTCTCACTGAAAACATATACAACTCTTTTAAGGTAATATTAATTGTGAAGAATTCAGTTTTGTGAAAAGAGGCAGATGTGTGACACTGTTTCTGAGACGTGTGAGGGTCACTTGGAACAGGGACAAAGCACTTTCAGTACCTGATGTTGTGTTTTATAAACACAGCCTGTAGGTGAAAACGGTGATTACATGAACCAAGCTGCTGAACAAATAAGGGTGTGTAGTATTCCTGGAATAACCTAAATGACATTCAGGATAACACCTTAACTGCAGATCACAGAGGAGCATTTAGAATATCTTGTAAAAACAAATTCAGTTGATGTCAATAAAAGTTTGCCTCTTGCTTTTTCTTCTGTTGACAGTTTCTACCTGGCTGAGATCTCAATGGCGCTGGGTCACCTGCACCAGAAAGGCATCATCTACAGAGACCTGAAGCCTGAGAACATCATGCTCAACAACAACGGTACACAAACCTCAAGTGTTCCTCACAAAAGGCAGATTAGAAAAACTAGATACATGTTCTTTCCACACATGACCGTTTGTTCTCAGATTGAATTCCTTCTCTCGCTAATCTGATAACTGAGTTTCTCTCATGGTCTTGCTTTGGCTCTGTTTCATTTCAGGACATGTGAAGTTGACAGACTTTGGTCTATGCAAAGAGTCCATCCATGACGGGACAGTCACCCACACCTTCTGTGGCACTATCGAATACATGTATGTCACATAAACATGCATGCTCATTTTTGTAGACCTATATAGTAGGGATGGCCATTTTAAGTAACTTCCATATTTGTGCACTCGCATTAAATTATTAAAGAGTACTCATGTAAAAGTCATGTTCACATGTGGGAGATTAGGCGGCGATTACTCTTTGCCTTAAAAAAATACTGATGTCCAAATCAAGTGCTCACACCCATCCCTAATATATAGTCGCATTTCCTACCTCCTACCCAGTGTAGTGTATCTGCTGTATTCACTTAGTCACTCCCTTTTCCTTTGTCAGGGCTCCAGAGATCCTAATGAGGAGTGGACATAACAGAGCAGTGGACTGGTGGAGCTTGGGAGCTCTCATGTATGACATGCTGACAGGAGCAGTAAGTCTACACCAGTTGATCCCCAAGTATCACTGTTAAATAAAGGAAACTGTAAGGCTAACTGAGATAGGAAGCATGTGCTACTCTTTCTAACTCTTGTTCCTGTCCTGCTACTTAATCACAGCCTCCATTCACTGGTGAAAACCGAAAGAAGACAATTGACAAAATCTTGAAATGCAAACTCAGCCTTCCACCTTACCTCACACAAGAAGCCAGGGACCTCCTGAAAAAGGTGAGCTGTAAAAGGCTTCTTCTGCCTCATGCTTCACCGGACTTGCTGTCTCTGCTGAAGCATTTGGAGTGTCAGAAAAATAAGTCTCTGAACTTCCTCTTTCAGCTGCTGAAACGAAATGCCTCGTTGCGACTTGGGGCTGGACCAGGAGATGCATCTGAGGTCCAGGTAAATATATCTGTAGAAAGTAGAGTGACAAGTGTATGCATGCATCAGAAAATGAGACTGCTTCTAGGAAAACCTTATCATGAAATATAAAATCCCTGCTGCTGTCATTGTGTTTCCAAGGCCCACCCTTTCTTCCGGCATATAAATTGGGACGACCTTCTTGCTCGCAAAGTAGAGCCTCCATTTAAACCATACCTGGTGAGTTAGTCTGTTCACACAGCAACGTCTTCTGTGACTTGCCCCCTGGCCCTGCAAGATGATTAACAGACCTGTTTCTTTCGGCAGCAATCGGCTGATGACGTCAGCCAGTTTGACTCCAAGTTCACCAGCCAGACTCCAGTGGACAGCCCCGATGACTCCACTCTCAGCGAGAGTGCCAATCAAGTCTTCCTGGTGAAAATCTAGTGCCGTACCTCTGAGCAAACAGTGGACATTTGTGCTCCTCTGTCTCAGTTTCTAGTGTAGAGTTTCCAGAATTTTTCATAACTTGATGATAGATTATGGAAGCAATTATCCATGATAAAATGTACAAAACAACAGGTGACCACATGGCCACTCAAGCTAATTGGGGCCACTCTAGACATTTCAAAACACGGCACAGCACGTTTCAGAATCATCCCAGAAGCTAATTAAAATACATGCCTTGTCTAGTTTTGACAGTGCCGCTGCATGTTGCACAGAGCAGATCGATTTCTCCTGCTAACAAAATGGCAGTGAACATAACATTAAAAAAAAATGGGGATATATTCATCTCGTGTCTTGCCTAACATTGGTGGATCATAACATATCAGGTATGGATGTTCCGGTACAAAATGAGACCAAACCTTTTTTATGGATGTCAGTTTTTGAGCCATAATGAAGACTAAAATGTGGCCTGCAACAGACAGTAAGGCTTGTTGTTTTCAGAGTTAGTGAGTCAGTCACAGGTAGACTTACTCATTTTGCGTCTGAACACCTGGTCGAGTGTGGCCTATCGCCATCTAGTGAAATCGCCGATGAACGACGTCATCGCCCGGGGGGGGGTGTCATTACGCGTCGCCGCTGAAACGTTCACTTATAGCCTCTCTGTGGCGTTTGAGCAGCTTTATAAAACTCTTGAACATGTAATGGCTCCTTAATTAGCAAGTTGACTTTAAATAGACGGCATATCTTTTCAATTTCTCCTGACACTGTGTTGTTTGGTTTGTTCACCGCTCCGCGACATGCGCGTTAAGGCCCGAACATACTCGGGCGGAACATACGCGGAACGAATTCCGCGGAGGTCCGCGCGGACTCAAAGCGGACGTCCGCAAGCCCTGTGCGCGCAAAGCTAAGATTTTACGACCGCGCGGACTCCGCTCCGCGCACCAGTGACTGCTCGGCATGTATTTTTCACATCGCAGGGATTTTTCACGGACATTTTTACAGGAAACTACAACGCGGAAGTGCACTCGACTATGAAAGCCCGAATGACTGCGGACATTCCTCGCGGAGTCCGCTCCGCTTATAGTACGCCCGAGTATGCTTGTGTCGAGCGGGCGGAGGCGTTGATCCCCCACCCCCCGCTCTCTCACTAAGCAGCCTCTATGGCAAGCCGTTTTAACATTTAATCGCTAGACTGGATATTCATTACTGATATCTGCAACATAATTTTGCCTAGTCAAAACTCTTATTCAAGATATCTGTAATTAGATTTTGCCTAGTGAAAACTCTAATTACAGATATCTGTAATTCAGTTTTGACTAGTAAGATTCAAACTATTTTAGCCATTCATGTGTATGGGGTTTGTCATTATAGATATCTCCAGTATAGTTGCGGATATCTGCAATTCTTATTACGGATATCTGCAACTGAATTGTGGATATCTGTAATTCCAGTTTGAGATATCTACAATTTAATTTTGACTAGTCATAATTCAAGTTCAAGATATCTTTAATTATCATCAATTGAAGATATCTACATGGTCCTTTCTAGATATCTTGAATTGAGTTTCAGATAGTCAGAATGACGTTGTAGATATCTTGAATTCGAATTATGACTAGTCAGAATGACGTTGTAGATATCCGCAACTGAATTATGACTAGTCAGAATAACGTTGTAGATATCTACAACTGAATTATGACTAGTCAAAATGACGTTGTAGATATCTCAAACTGGAATTCTAGATAGTCATAATGTAATTGTAGATATCTATAATGACAAACCTCATACACATGAGTTTGAATCTTACTAGTCAAAACTGAATTACAGATATCTGTAACTGTAGTTTTGAGTAGTCAGAATGATGTTATAGATATCTGTAATTCAGTTTTGACTATTCAGAATGACGTTATAGATATCTGTAATTCAGTTTTGACGTTACAGATATCTTAAATTAAAATTCATACTAGTCACAATGACATTACTACTAGTCAAAATGACGTTATAGATATCTATAATGGTAATTCCAGATAGTCAGACTTAGTGATTAAATGTTAAAACGGCTTGCCATACAGCCTCCCTCTGTCTCCTCTCACTCAGCCTCGTTCAGCCTCGATCTCGTCAGCATGCGCCACACACGCGCTGTCTCCCCCCCACACCTCGCGATTGCATCGTCATTTAAAAAAGACATCGTGAAACAACTCTTCTATCGCCGATGGGCGATCCAATCGCCCATCGATGTCTTTTTTACACAACCCTAATTTTAAACAACCCTATTGACAAGGCTGGCTGCTAGCGTTAGCATCAGATGCTGTGCTAGGTTCACTGCTAAATGTTTTGAGGTGATATGTCAGGCAAGAAGTACTCCGATGGTATGAAAATTCCTCACTGCAGAAATTTCAGAGTGCAGTTCTCCTGTCAACAGTTCCTTCTGGGCTTTTTTAAAATGTAAATGTTCTTTTTTCTGTGTTTAATTATCGAAATTAAGGTGTTATTTTTGACAGCCCTAATATTTATTAATTTAAGAGCAGTCATAGTGAGTGGCGATTTTATTTTTCGAAGTTGTAGTTTTAACCATAATTCTTATTTATTTATGATTTAGTTAGAAGTTAAAGAAACTGGAAGCAGATCAAAATATTTTATAAATAGTTTATTTCACATATATATAAATCCTTTAAAGATAATCTTTCACCACAGAAACAGAATGAGTGTGTTGGTAACTAATCATTTTCCAGGCTTTTTTGGTAGGACATGAGTTGTCTCAATTCTCAACACTGGGTAAAATACAATAATAATATACAAGTGAATAAAATTAAGTCTATAAACTATTCTTGATCACAAGTGTGGCTGAATAGGTAGGTTTTAAGTTTATGGCTAAAGATTTCATCTCTCAAATCCTCAGGCAGACTGTTCCAGTGGCTCGGAGCATGTTAACTAAAATGATGAGGCAGCAATGTCAGGTATCAGAAACAAAACCCATGTCTGAAGTGGAGCCAGTCACAGTCGAGTATTTTCTTTGAACATGGTATTAGCATTATGTGACTCATAATTTTAAAATAAGAATCAGAAATATATGATGGACATTTAGAGAAAAGACAGAGGGTTGTTAATAGAATACTCTGGCATTAACTTTTACACTTTAACTCCTCCTGTGTTGTCTGCAAACAGACATACAAATGGAGGCCAGCCTTGTCTGGACATAATGTTTTTTATTTCTGTCTCAACAAGTAGGTCTTACGAGAATCAGTTAATGTGTCCCATCTGGTGTAGTCCTGTTGGTTTTCCTGGAAGCTTCACTCGCATTTCCACCACATTGCATGATATGGTTTACTCAGCGTTTCATTGCTCATCATCAGCTGTGGGTTGTTTTTGGAAAGACGGTCTTTGAAGAGGTGGACTCAGATCTCTCTCTCTCTGTTTTTGTCCCCCCTCCCCTCCTCAGGGTTTCACATATGTAGCCCCATCTGTGCTTGAAAACGTCAAAGAGAAGTTCTCTTTCGAGCCAAAGGTGCGCTCACCACGGAAGTTCCCTGGTAGCCCGAGAACACCTGTGAGGTAATAGCAAGTTGTTTTTGTTTCTGGTTCCACTGAATCTGTTACTCGAGCAAGTTTTTCACAAAAATCAATGACTCATTTGCTGACCTTGTAAATGTAGCAGGCTAAAACCATCGCTAGAAGAGTAAATAAAAGCTTCTTCCCAGAGGCAAACAGGAACTTCACAGGGCTTGAAAATAATTCTTCACTTATTCAGAGGAATTTTAGCTGAAAGGAGAACACTTGCTTGTCAGGCAGATAAAGGAAATTTATGTTTGAATATCTGCTGACTATTTCAACAGTGGTTTCTTCTGAAATCATTACTTCATCAAACACAGCTGCATTCACACTGGTCCTCTGGCACTTTTAGAGTAAATATTATGTGTGCTGTTTTCTCACTACACAATCACATGCCTGGTTATAGCTGTGTGACGCATGGCATGCTCAACCAGAAGTCAGATGTAGCAGCAGCTCAGTTTCTGTCAATGTCTCGATTTTTAGTCATGTCAGGGTTTGTTTGATTTTAGATAAACAAACACTTGGCTTTCAGAATATGAAACTTTTATCGGTAAATTCAGACAATAAATACAGTTGTGAAGCTTGTAAATGCACGATGACAAGCCTTACAAGCTTGACTCAGCGCCACTTTCCCTTCCTCTATGTCTTCCTGAAATTATGAATGAAAGGCCTGACGTTATAGTAACATGGCAGGGTATGGAACAGTGGGTTTACGACGGATTTCATATAAATGAAGTCTATTAAAACTCACCAGGTCGGCCAGTTCTAAGTGGCTTTGAATTGCACGTCAAAATATATTATTAAATGTTAAAACTTTTGTTAATATGGACAGGCTACATGTCGTTAGGTCTGTTAGATTCTCCACAATTTACTCGCTCAGTTCATTTTACAGAGCCTTTTTAAATAGGAATTGTGCAAATTTGCAGGAAAGCTTCCTTTTGTCAGCATTGGCAGTATAAAAACAAAATCGGGGAGTGCGGCAAAATGCCGCCTACCTACTTTTGTTTATACAGAATGTGCCTTTTTCGGGGCAATGGGGGGCGTGAGCAAGTAACAAAATGTGTAGGTCAGTGTGTGATGTAAACAGTGACATGGGAGGGAAGCCGCGGCTAGTCAGGTGGCGATTCTCTCGTAAATTGGCCCGTTCTTCACCGTCCCCATCATCTGACAGTTAATGGCCTCTTCATTTGCGAGGGCAAGGAGGGCGCGCAATTCCTTGTCTCCCCAGTTGCTCATCTTTACAGTGTCTGTCAGGTTTGCGTTTCCCTCTTGCTACAAGCTGCTCACTAATTCCTGCTATCAGCTGTTTCCTGTTTATCCACCACCAGTGGGTCGCACGTGCGGCGTCATCAACAGCTCCTCTCACAAGTCTTAAACAGCCCCTCCCGTTGCGGAAGGCCGCCTTGGTCTGTTTAAACTAAAAGGGTTCTGCCAATATGTCTACCCTACGAGGCCGAAAATTGGGTGCCTCAGATCAACTTGCCATTCCGCCTCTGTGTGTATAAACACTCGCAGCTGGCCGGCAAATCGGACTAACATTTGCGGAAAATCTGGCAGTGTAAAAGGGGCTACAGAAACCATGAGCACCAACGATTTATTCATTCACATTTATGGGTCTGGTAAACAAGGGACGAAAAAAGTGGTGACTCCATACCTTTGAAGTTCGAATATGTGTCCAGTCCTCGATTAACTATTTGCTAACTATCCTTTAGTCCGTAAAAGGGTCCACAGATTAAAAGAATCAAAATGGTTTTCATAAATTTAAACCAAATTGTGAATATTGTCATGTAAAGTCCATTAACTTTTTTGGACTGTACTTCTTACGATATAAACTATACAGTATTTTCTCATATTCCTGCACCGTGTTGTTGGGTAAGCTTGTTTTTGTTACATTGCTGGTTATGAAATTAAAGTTCCCGCTCCCACTTTGGAGGGCCAATTGGCTCTGTCGCATATCTTTGCAGCCACTGGACTGCAAACTCTGAAGGCCTTTTTATTTAAAACAAGGCTTGGTGACAGCCGTTATGTAATATGTATTTTGGTTAATATGTGGAGTACAAAAACAACACAGATGTTATTAGAAAGCATAAAATCTCCCCTTTGCAAATGTCTTGTCTCTCAGTCAAGTCAGCTTTATTTATACAGCCCAATGTGACAAATCACAATTTGCCTCAGGGGGCTTTACAATTTTTACAGCAGACGACATCCTCTGTCCTTAGACCCTCACAAGGGGCAATGAAGAACTCCCCCCAAAACTCTTACTAGGGAAAAAAATGGAAGAAACCTCAGGAAGAGCAACAGAGGAGGGATCCCTCTCCAAGGATGGTCCGCCAGGAAATAGATTTCATGTGTACAAAAAGACAAAGTAAAACACAGAATGTGAACATATATGAAAGATGGATCTGGGAGGATGTCAAGCAGCTTCCAGATGTCGACAAACGGCTCGAGGCTGAGATACAAGCCCTCCTCTCCACCATGTAACCTGGAGAGAAGACAGACTACACAAACACACAGGATGCAAAGCTTAATCACGGTTAAATAACACAGATAGCAGAATGACACAAACACAGAGACAAGAGAGACTTAAACTCCTGGAGTGTGGAGATCTACTTTCAACATGTGGAGTAGGCAACAACAGCCAGAGGAGAGAGAAAGAGAGGTCCCATGATGGCAGATGGTCCAGCACAGAAGTCTGAGTTCAGAGAAAAAGAGACAGAAAGGCACACAGCAGTGCTTGTGGGACACAAACAGCAAAGGGTTATGAAGAAGCAGTGGCTCAAAGCTAATGTTCTCGTCTGCAAGGCTAATAAGCTTAGATTACACTGAGACTGAGACTGAAACCGACCCGCCAGCTGGATAATGAAAATGTTAAAGGATAATTGAATGTTGAAGGAATACTTCATCCCCTAAATAACAACTTGTATATCAGTTAATCACCCTGTGTTATATTGGATTCGGGAAGAGAATTGTTATTCTTGCATTCCTCCAGTGAACAAAAAAATCCAAAAATTGAGAAAATTCTGTATGAATTAATGTCTCTTGCCTTTAACAACATCAAAACCATATCAAAACATCCGTTTACAGACTCTCACACAATTTTGCAGTCTAATTTAAGTCTCATTTATCCAGTCGTACGCTCAGGATTTCCAAGACAGACAACCCTGTCTGATGGGGAACTGAACTGAAACTAAAACTTATCTATGCTTTCCTCAAAGCCACATTCCATCAGTAATTTTACCTCACTGAACATGGGAGTTGCTGCTCTACTAGTGCCTCAGTCGGCAAATTTGTTTGTGTTATTGTGTAACTTTGGCGTTTAGATGGTTACTTCACACAGTAACACAAACAACTAACCAATTAAGGCAGCAGTAGACCAGCAGCTCCTGTGTTCAGTGAGGTAAAATGACATGTCATCAGAGTCTAAGCTGGAGAGAGCATAGATACCTTTTGCTATTAGTTCAGTTCCCAATCAGAAAGGGCGTCTGTTTTTCGTTTTTTTCACTAGACGACAAGAGCGATCACTGCCGTGCATCGTCTGGCAGCCAGGTGAGTTGGTTCATTAGCGTAATGAACAGAGGGAAAGCTCTTGTCATCGAGTGTCTTTGTCTCTGTGGGGAAGGTGGGGCTATGGGCCACACATACACACACAGCGCGATCTTCGTGAGGGGGAGACGAGGCGGAGAAAAAAACAGAGTTGAGCGTGAGAGAAAGACAGGGAAGTTGTTCCTAAACCAAATGCCACGGCCACTGTGTGTGAGTGTTTTGGATTTAAACCAAATGACAGAGGGGAACCCAATAATTTGACGAGCTGGTGTTTGTTCTAAAACCATCTCAACAAAAAGAGCGAATATGACCAACTTAACTGCACACCTGAGAGACTGAGAGTCTATTTTTTTGTATTTATTTATTTATTTCGATAATTTTACGTGTTCTTTCAGATAATTAAATTTTCTTTTTTGCAGTCCTAAATATTCTTGTTAAATAAATGTTTATTTCTCTTTTAAAAAGGTGTACTTGCATCATTATGTCTTTATTATCATTATATAAGTTTAAAAAATGGTCTAAAAACAGCAAAATTACAACAATAATAAAAATGGTCTTAAAAGCACAATATTATCGCATATCGCAATAATTTCTGACGCAATTAATCACAATTATCGTGACAGGTGCTACAAACTTTCTGGCCTGTGCTACAAAATTATCACCCTCTGTAGCACCAGTGCCATGGGCCAAAAAAGTTAACGTACAGCCCTGCAACTGGATAAATGAGACTTGGATTAGGCTGAATTCCTACTTCCTTGCACTCACGACAACAGTCACTTCTGGGTCGACAACTGTTGTGGGCAGGGGGCATAGCAAACCATATTTTAGGCCCGTACAAAAATTAGTTTCAGTTTAAGGGTTTGCTGCATTTGCTGTCTTACTCACTAACTGATTGTGGCAGCTGTAGACGAGCAACTCTAGTCTTCTGCAAAGTAAAATTACTGTTTTTGTCAATGGATTCTGGTGGCTTTGAGACGATGGCTTAATTTCCTTGTCAGAAGGGGCTGTCTGACGGCGAGAAAAAGCAGTGAAAATATTCTAACTAGCATACACGTAAACTGATATTGATTTTTTTTTTTTTTTTTTTTTTTAAGGTGAGCCTCCTTTTTAGTGGCTAAAAACAAACCAATTAAGGCAGTGCTCAGCGCCATTTTATTTTTGAACACGAAGCTCAGTCTATACTGCACGAATTGTTTGAGAGTTCGTAAACAGATGTCTTGATATAGTTTTGCTGTTGTTAAACGAGGCCCCGCTTTCCTTAAATTCATCAAGAATTTTCTGATTTTTTTTGATTCTTCGTTCACCATGAACGTGTTCACCAAATAACGTGATAAGAAATTGATATACAAATGGTCATTTGAGGGATGAGGTTTTCCTTTAAGGCAAAGGATGATTTAGGATCTAATGTCTCCCTCTTCCACAGTCCGGTGAAGTTTGTAGGAGGGGACTGCTGGCCCCGGGGACCCACGCTGACAGGCAACACTGTGGAGCAACCCATGGAGGTGTCGACAGTGGAGCAAATGGACACGAGCAGCAGCGGCACCACAGAGGCCTCTGCGCCACTTCCCATCAGGCACCCTTCAGGCATCAACGCAGGGCCCTACAAAAAGCAGGCCTACCCCATGAACTCCAAGCGGCCCGAACATCTACGAATGAACCTATGACGCTCGGCTTGCCCGCGAACATTTAGGACTCTTCCAATTCCTCATCCTCTTCCCTTTAGTTGTTTTCTTTTTAAGAGACTTGTAGATTTTTTTTTAAGGATTAACTGACACTGTCAGTGCTGATCACCAGCTCTTCCAGCAGCGCCTTCCCATCCCTCCTGACTTGGCCTGGCCTCCTCAACCTGGTGCAGATTATCAGCAGGTGAAGTTCAGTAGACATGTGGTCAGTCAGAGGAGTTGTGTGAGAGAGGTGCTTTTTGGTGAAAGTTGGCTGGGTGATGCCTTCTGATGAGTGGGCTGAGGTGGTTTCGGTGTACTCAACTGGCATTATCATATGATTTAATGGTGCTCTTTTATCCACAAGTCTGGACAGTGTTACTTTTAGTGTTAACAACACAATCATCATAGTGAGAGAATTTAATTACATTGAGTAACATTTATTTCTCCCTCAGTATCCCAGGCTTTTTTTTGTTTCATCTTGTGATAACAACATACAGGTCACACTGTCAGCAGGTAGAATTATTGGATATCAATCCCACAGTGAACACAGTACTCCTTTACGTTTGAGGAAACCAATCACATTGCCTTCGTCACTCACTGGAGCGTGTGGTCACAGGTAGTTGGAGCATGACTTACGGAAAAGCAGCTATAAAAAGATAGAAGTGAAATTTCATCTGGAAGCATCACTTCCACCACAATCAATACCAAATGCTGGCACTGCTTTCTGTCGGAGGCCTGTCCAGAGGCACTGTTCAGTTTCTTTGTGTTGAATGTAAACAGACTCTAAATGCCTTTTCATGTGTTATTTCAAAGGATAGTTTGGATTTCTTGAAGTGGGGACGTATGAGGTGCATATCCATATGACAGTGTGTTGCCTACAGTAGATGGAGGTCGGCACGCTCCCAGTTTGGAGAAGCAGGCAGGAGCATCACTGAAGCTAAGAAATGTACTGCTGTGGATAGGGGCAGCACCAAAATGTATTTTCAGTTACTATCTGTCAAAGTACACACTATATTTAGAATATTTTTACAGCCTTACCTTACCGTCAGATGACCCGATCGCTAGTTGGCACCAGAAATAGGACTGGGCAATACGAAGATATTATATCATTATCGAGATATAAGACTATTTATCGTCTTAGATTTTGGATATTGTAGTATTGTGACCTGGTATAAATGGTGTTTTTTCCACATTTTAAAGGCTGTATTACAGTAAAGTGATGTAAATGTGTTGCCTTAACCCACTTGGTTGTTATATCCACATTATTGATGATTATTGATCAAAAGTCGCATCAGACAGGGTATTTTGCTCAGAAATATTATGTTCGATTTTGTCTCCCAGTCCTAGCATTAATGAAATGCTTTTGAGGAGATTGAAAAGTATGGAGATATATAGCGTGTATCGAGATAAAGCCAAAAAATATCGTGATAAAATTTTCAGGACATATCGCCCAGCCCTGACAAGAAATACCAGTCTGTTAAACATATCATTAAATCCAAATTATTTTATTTATGAACACATTAAAATCACACAGAAGTACATATTCTGATGACTGCTTTTTTTTTAAATTTTATTTTAATTTTATATTTTACAGTAGGATAGGCTGTTTAGGATGTGAGTTTTCACTCAGAGAAAACGCCGTTGTCATAATCAGACTCGTTTCTTGAAGATTTATTTTCCTTAATAATACCGTTTTTAGTATGTTGTTTGTTAACTTATGCTCATTGAATTGTTGTCATATTTTGTAGGATAATTTGCAATGTTCCTAATGCACTGTGCACACATTTAGCACATTGAAAAATGTGATTGTGAATGCAAGAAAGTGCTTCAGTACAGTTGCTAGCTGCGGATAGCCGTCCTTAGTTCGTCTCACCTGTTCTTTTTCCTCATCAAATGGCCACTTTAATTGCTTGAGGTGGGGGTCAGTGACTACGCTAAGGACACTGGCTTCATTCGTGTCTGACACTTGCCACCTCCTTTCAGTTTCCTCCACCCGTTTCAAAAAACAAGCATTCAGTTACTGATTTCGACATTGATTTCCATGGCAATGATTTAAGCTTCGAAGCATTCGGGTCAGCCCTATTAGTGTCAGTGTTGGCACTCTGCAGCCTGCTTCTCCAAACTGGAAGCGTGCCGACCGCTGTCTACTGTAGGTAATACACTGACTATGGATAAGTACCTCATACAACCCCTCTTCAAAAAAATGTGAACTATCCCTTTAAATCTCTACGCTTAGCTCTGATGACCCCTGCAGCATTATATTTTTTTAACTCATGTATTCCTGCAGTCTTGTTGCCACTGAGCAACAAACAGGTTGATCCAAAAACACTCAGCCAAATTGATATCACTGCCCTTCATCAAGTCAGGCAGTGTTCATGTCTTATGTGCTTGGGTGCTTTGCTTTTTGTGCATTTACACTAACAGGGCTCTCAGTAGTGGGGGGGGATAAACCGTGACTTATATGAGTGGACCATCTGCTATAAATGTATGACCTGTTTGTTTGATGTAAAGCTGCTCTATGAGTCGTGTGGAGTCAAGCCATTCAGAACTTCTCACCCTAAAACTGAGCCCACTCTCACGCAGATTGCAGCGATGCTAACTGAAAACTGAATGGATGTAAATTTAGTTTGAATGGCTCCCTGATGTTTCTTGTTATCCAAATACTTCGGCTACATCTACACTAAGACCCTGTCCACATGTGTACAGATAATTTAAAAAATGGATATTTCCTGACTCCGTTTACACAAAAAAAAAAAATCTGTCCAGATGATCTTTGTTTTACAAAATATCTCTGTACACACTAGCACGCAAAAATGACTCCAAATGCTCACAGGCGTTAGCTGTCTGTCCTCGTGTGTGTACACCACCTAATGTTTCCTTTTTCGTAATACCAACTGGAGATCTCGTCATTGTTAAATCCCCTTAAATATAAAGACAAATGCGCTCACTCAAAGATGCAAGTGAAGCTCTCGACATGCAACAAATTTCCTTCAACTCCTCACTGACAACAACCACTCTGGAAAGCGTCCCACCATCTGCTGGTTCGATTGGGCCTGATCCAAAACTCGTTTCTGGTGGACCAAATAACACTGGGTGTCTGGAAACTTGTGCAGCAGTACTAATATTAAGTGTAAAGCATTCATTAGACCAAGCAGTGCTAAAGAAACGTAAACAAACCGGTAGTCTGACGTTGCTGTTTATTTCTTATGCCCATTACATAGAGCAATAATGGGCATTCCGAAACACTCCATTATACGTCCATGCGGATTCAAAGTAAAATGTTTAAAAAATATCAACCTTAGGAGTTTTAAAGTGTTTTAGTGATTTATAACCCGGTTTGCTTGGAGACACAAGGCCAAAACATAGAGGAAAATATCTGCATATGGGTGGACAGGGCCTAAGGCTACATCCAAACTAATACATTTTCGTTTTACAACACAACTGTGGCTACGTATATGCCAAGTGCAGTGGTTCCCAACTCGTCAGATCCAGATTTCTCCTTCGTCATCAGCTCAAGGTCCACATAATACATTAAGGGTGATACTTAAGTTTGGCCTCATTAGTCACTCAATCTATGGCAGGAAATGGCACTTCAAAATAAAAGCTGTGTGCTGGAAATTCACTGTACTTAAAAATAAAGTGTGTTTTTTTACAAACTTGACACATTTCCGAGTCGCTTACAATCCATTCAGAATGGACATGTGACCCACTTTTGGACCGCAACCCACCAGTTGGGAACCACTGGCCTAGCGATCACACTACTGTGGCGTTTCTGAACCCCTAAAACGGAGATTTTTGAAAACGCTGCTGACCCTGTTTTAGTTTGAAAACTCGGCGGTCTGGACGGGCGGATATTGCCCTTGTGATGTAAGTTATTTTAGTGTGAATGGTAATTTTTGCATTTCATTTTCACTTAAAAAAAATTCATGATAGCACCACAATGCTTCATTTATAATGTAAGTTTTAAAACATTTTACCTTTATCAAAAACTGCGGCTCCTGCGATTTGGATATTGCACTTGGCCATATTGCAATTTTGATAATATTTTGATTAACTGTGCAGCTCTAAACTCTAAATTTGGATGGAGATTAATTCTAAAATGGTGCTAAAAGGCTTGTGTGTACAGTGATTGTTTTTAAAACGCCGTCTTAAAACGAAAACACGTGTTAGTGTGGATGTGGCCTCAGTGAATTGACCAAAAGCACTGTTTTAATGAACCAAATCATTTTTGCTGTTAAACAAACAAACAAACCAACAGACCCTGGGGAAGTGTGTTGCAATTTTACTTTCATATTTAGGAACTACAAGATTCAAAGGTCAAACACGTTTTGTGAAAAGTGTGATATTTGATGACACTGACTTTGTTCTCCACTTGAGTGCTCGCAGAGGCAGTTTAATGTTTTTTGTTTTCTACCATTCCTGTACAATGGTTGTTGTTAAGGACCAGTCACTCCACTTCCTTTCTTTGTTGAATTGTTATAATATTTATTTTAAGTGCCATTTTGTGTCCACTGCATTGTTTACACTATGCAAACTGTGTATTTATTATGTAGTATTATTTAGATAAGGCAGCAGAATGTGTGCTAACTTGATTTGGCATTCCTGTCAGAGACTTATTTTGTCATATTAATAATAATAACAAGCATGCACCATATGATTTACTCCTGCAGAACATGTCTTACAGCATTCTCAGATGCAGCTTTTTTCTTATTCCAAAACTGACGACGGTGACCTAATTGTCTTACACTATTTATTGTGTGGCATAGTATCTTATTGAAGGGGGATTTCCAAACAACATTTTCACATCTTCAGACTTTCCTTGCTGAAAACTTGAACTTCAGTTTCCTTTTGCAGTGCTTAATGCAGGGGCAGTGATTGCGAAGAGAAATGAACTGACGCAAAAACCAAGGATGATTTCTTTGCTTCATATATGATCTGTGTGTGTGTGTGTGTGTGTGTGTGTGTGTGTGTATAGAGTCTATGAGAGAGGTTGGGTAACTAAAAAACTAAAAAAAATTACTTCAGGTTGGAAACACCATTGATTGAATAACATTATTCCTGTTGCTTTGTCACCCTGAGATCTGCCCCGTCAGATGGGGAATGTTAATATGTATCATGTACATAATGAAGTCAAAATAAAAAAAAAAAATAAAATAATGGGTCTTGTCTCTGAGCAGTGGCAACGTCACAGAATGTATAGTACAAAGCAAAAGTGGCAAAATGTTAAATGTAAGTGGTTTTTATTTTAACTAAAAGTGCTTGTTTTTGTCACTGACAGGATCAGATTGTTGTAAGTGTCTGACTACATCATGGAAAGGAGCCCGACAAAGATAGACCTTTTGTTATAGAGTAAGATCAGGGAACGGCCTCGATTGTCAAACCCATCAGGCTCCATTGAAATAGTTTTTTTTAATTTTGGCGAGTATAGAGGCAGCGTATTTTCACATCTAACTGGGTGAATTAGGGTTTTTTTCAAGCAAACCAGAATTAACAATTGTTAGAAGAGTGGAGAGATGAGAGATGTCGACTTCAAATGAAGTGTGTCTTTATGATGATAAATTGCTGTTGATTAAAATAGTCTGGCAGCTTTGCCGACGGTGTCAAAGTGGATATGGAAAGCATCCCGTTAGAGACAGACCTTTTTGTTCAAGAGTAAGATCCTTTATTTTTAACCAGAAACAGCCATGAAATCGCTATCACCAAACCCACCAGACTCCATTTAAATAAACAGTGACTTTAGCGTGTATAGAGCCAGCATATTTTCACATCCAGCTGGGTAAATTTAAGGGTTTATTTCAACCAAACCAGAGCTGGTGATTGTTGGAACAGTGGAAACACAAGACCAAGATGGCTTTGTGAGTTTTATTTTGATTCTCTCAATTTTGGATGAAGTGTGTTTTATGATAATAAAATTAATGTTTATTTAAATGGAGTCTGGTAGGATTGGCTAAGGTGATTTTAGGGCTGTTTCTGGTTAAACAAAAAGGATCTTACTCTTTAACAAAATGGTCTATCTCTGTAGGGATCCTTTCCAAACACTTGTAATAACACAAAATCCCCAAATCGATACTGCCATATCCATTTGATTTAAATAAACAGTGATTTTATCATCATAAAAATACCACAATCAAAGCTGAGAGAAACTAAATACAACTCACACAACGTCTTGGTTTGTCTTTCTACTTTTCCAACAATCACCAACTCTGGTGTGGTTAAAATAAACCCCTGATTTCCCCAGTTAGCTGTGAAAACATGCTGGATCTATACATGCTAAAATAACTGTTTATTTAAATGGAGTCTGGTGAGACTGGCTGTTTCTGGTTAAACAAAAAGGATCTTATCTTTAACAAAAAGGTCTGTCTCTGTAGGGATCCTTTCCATATTGTTGTCAGACACTTAAGATGATAATCAGAGCCTGTCAGTGGCAAAACAAGCACTTTTAAGGGGACACACACTCACCAGCCACTTTAATAGGTACATTTTTCTAGTACCAGGTTGGACCTTCTTTTGCCTTCAGAACTGTCTTAATTCTTGGTGTCATAGATTCAACAAGGTGCTGGAAACATTCCTCAGAGATTTTGGTCCATATTGACATGATGACATCGCACAGTTGCTGCAGAGTTCCACCACATCCCAAAGGTGCTCTATTAGATTGAGCTCTGGTGACTGTGGAGGCTGATTGGAGTACAGTGAACTCATTGTCATGTTCAAGAAACCAGTTTGAGATGATTTGAGCTTTGTGACATGGTGCGTTATCCTGCTGGAAGTAGCCATCAGAAGATGGGAACACTGTGGTCATAAAGGGATGGACACGGTCAGCAACTACACTCAGGTAGGCTGTGGTGTTTAAACCATGCTCAGTTGGTACTAAGAAAATCTCCCCCACACCATTACACCACCAGCACCAGCCTAAACTGTTGACACAAGGCAGGATGGATCCATGCTTTCATGTTTACACCAAATTCTGACCCTGCCATCTGAATGTGGCAGCAGAAATCCAGACTCATCAAACCAGGCAATGTTTTTCCAATCTTTTATTGTCCAGTTTTGGTGAGCCTGTGTGAACTGTAGCCTCAGTTTCCTGTTGTTAGCTGACAGGAGTGGCACCTGGTGTGGTCTTCTGCTGCTGTAGCCCATCTGCTTCAAGGTTGGACGTGTTGTTGGTTCAGAGATGGTCTTCTGCAGACCTTGGTTGTAACCAGTGGTTATTTGAGTTACTGTTGCCTTTCTATCTCACAAGGCATTTTCACCCAGAGAACTGCCACTCACTGGATATTTTCTCTTTTTCAGACCATCCTCTGTAAACCCTAGAGATGGTTGTGCAAGAAAATCCCAGTAGATCAGCAGTTTCTGAAATACTCAGACCAGCCCGTCTGGCACCAACAACCACGCCACGTTCAGAGTCACTTAAATCACTTTTCTCCCCCATTCTGATGCTTGGTTTGAACTTCAACAGGTTGTCTTGACCATGTCTACATGCCTAAACCATTGAGTTGCTGCCACGTGATTGGCTGATTAGCTATATGGGTTAACAAGCAGTTGAACAGGCGTACCTAATAAAGTGGCCAGTGAGTGTAAATTGACAGTGCCAGTGGTTACATTGCAGCCTCTTTCATGGTTCCCATTAACCTCTTATGTGATAATTCGGTCCAGGTTGAAAAATACCAAATTACCCTTAAAGTGAGCTCTGTTCAACCTCCGTACAACATCACTTTAAATAATATTTAGACCTCAATGATTGTCTACAACACTAAGCTACTCAGCAAACAAGTGATTCTTATTTTGTCACATAAAAACAGGCCACGAACATTAAAATTGTAGATCTTTATTCAGATAGTTTATGCATCTAAATGGATAAAAATAACAACACAGTGAAATGATTTTTGTACATAATAAAATAGATGTTTCTCTCCCAGTCTTTGGTTTTTACAAAAACAAGGCTATGTCACCTTTGTAGAAAAATAATTTGTGTGTAAATCAGTCTGTCAAGCTCAGTTGCATCCTTTTGTATCAGATGTGGAAATAAAATAGTCACCAAAAGCTGAAAGCAAAAGGCAGACTGTTGACTCATCACAGAAAGTTACTCTTCAGCCTGCCATGTTCATCTTTCAGTGCCTTCAGTGGCAAAAGTCTGGTCATTACTGCACCATGTGATGTTACTGTGAACTGTGCTTCCTAAGCTCAACCACACAGCTAAAGCAGAATTCAGCAAGCACTCCTGAGCCGAGGTTTGCAGCTGCTTCCTTCTACACGTTTACTGTTAGAAATCAAAAGTTGCTTCAACAAATTTAGAAACACTGGATAAGAGAGGGTGCATGTGTTGCATGTTTGTTCAAACGTATGACAGAGGAAAAATTCTGTTTAAAATACTTTTTTAATATATATCTCTCTGATGTTCCCATATTTACAAGTAGGAGAAATTGTGGAAGTAAAACAATTTGTTGCCACGTGAGGAAAGTTTTTATATTAAAAGGTGAATAAAAGCAACACAACACAAGAGGTATCAACTTAAAATAGAAAAATCACTTTGGGGCATGAAAATAATCAACTGTCCATTGTCTGTTAAAGTGACAAGTTCTGGGAAATAAGCCAGAAACATGTCTACTGTAGGTGCAAGTCGTCTGTCCTTACTGACCCCGGCCCTCAGAGGGCCACAGCCCTTAGCTCATTAACCAAACAGTGTACAACATTACTTGTCAGTGGGGTTTGACAGCCTCAGGAAAAATCACATTAAATACAAGCTAATACCGACGTCCCACACCCCAAAAGCCCTCTGCCTATACCTCATGAGTCAGTAAATCTGCAGGTGAGGAGATGTGGCTCCGTCCCTCCATTTGTAAACCTTCTCTGTGATCACAGTGCGACAGAGAGGGCAGCTCTTCTCCCGGTTAAACCACAGAGCGATGCATTCGTCACAGAATATGTGCTGCATGCCAGAAAAACAAAAGCATGTCAGTATGTCCTGCACTTAATCGTCCATGACTGATCTGATTCAGGAAGGGGTCGGAAAAGATGAATAATGATGTATAAAGAAAATATGGGTTTATTATTAGGGTTGGTAGAGAAGAATAGTAAATAAAAGACAAGTGCAGTTGTGAAACTGTTGTGTTACAGATTTTCTCTCTTTGAGGGTAAGTTCACTATTTTCAACACAGACACTGTTTTTGTTTGCTTTTGTGTCTCAGTGACTTATAAGAACCACATTTTTAGATTGGTCCAGTATTGAGCGAGAGTGCTGTAGCTGTCGATAGTAAAACAGGCTGCAGTGTCAATTTACGTCCAATGAAAGTGCTCGTTTTTGCCACTGACAGGCTCAGATTATTTTTTTAAGTGTCCCTACAGAGACAGACCTTTTTGTTAAAGAGTAAGATCCTTTGTTTAACTACAAACAGCCCCGAAATCACTGTCGCCAAACCTACCAGACTCCATTTAAATAAACGGTAATTTTAGCATGTATAGAGGCAGCGTATTTTCACATCTCACTGGGTGAATTAACATTTTGGGGTTTTTTTTCAACCAAACCAGAGTTGGTGATTGTTGGAACAGTGAAAGGACAAACTAAGATGGTTTTGTGAGTTTTATTTTGTTTCTCTCAATTTTGGATCAAGTGTGTTTTGCAATAATAAAATGAACGTTTATTGAGTCTGGTGGGATTGGCGAAGGCGATTTTGGGGCTGTTTGTAGTTAAACAAAAAGGAACTTACTCTTTAATAAAAAGGTCTATCTCTGTCAAGGTTCTTTCCATACACTTGTACTAACAATGTGACACTGTCAGTGTCAATCACAAGCACTTTAGTGGATGTAAATTGACGTTTCAAAACACGCCACGAGTGTTTCCATTGCAGCCGGCTGCAGCCATCTCAATGAATTCTGGACCAATTCCTTCTTTATCTTTACGAATTTATAAAGCGCTTTTTAAAACAGAGTTAACAGACAAGACATGAAATCAACAACTTTTAAAAGAATTGACAGAAACACATTAGTGTACCAAGACTGAGGAAATAAAAGACAGTCTAAATTAAATTAAAATTCAAGTAAAATCAGGAAAGGCTCTCAGATAAAAGTATGTTTTAAGAAGGGACTTAAACACTCACTGACTGGGTTGACCTGATTTCCCCGGGCAGACTGTTCCAGAGCCTTGGGCCCTGACAGCA